CGCTGTCCCCGCACGCAGGTCAACCTCAACAGCATCAAGCGCTGCCTGCTCATCAGCTACGACTCCGACTCGCAGCTCCTGGACCTGCGGCACTAGTGAGCGCCCCGCTTCCCGGGATGCGGCCCCGCTTCCCGGGACACAGCCCCCCTTCCCRGGACACGGCCCCCCTTCCCGGGAGGGGGCCGTGTCCCGCTGAGCGCCCCGTGGCCCCCGCAGCAGCATCAAGGTGGTGCCCGTGGGCGTCAGCAAGGGCCTCAAGAAGCTGCTGCAGGAGAAGTTCCCCAACATGAGCCGCCTGGAGGACATCAGCGAGCTGCTGGTCAAGTGAGCGCCTGGCCCGAGTGTCCCCGAGTGTCCCCGAGTGTCCCYCCCCAGCCGCTGTGTGTCCCTTTCCCGCCCGCCCGCGTTCCTTTCCCAGCCCCACGTGTCCTTCTCCAGCCCATGTCCCTCTCCTGTCCCCATGTCCTTCTCCAGCCCTGCATGTCCCTCTCCGGTCCCCATATGTCCCTCTCTGCCCCACATCCCTTTCCATCCCTGTGTGTCCTCCTGTCCCCCCATGTCCCTCTTCATCCCTGTGTGTCCCTTTCTATCCATGTGTGTCCCTCTCCTGTCCCCATATGTCCCTCCTCATCCCTATGTCCCTCTCCATCCCACGTCCCTTTCCATCCCTGTGTGTCCTCCCGTCCCCACATGTCCCTTTCCATCCCCGTGTGTCCCTTCCCTCCCAGTGAGTTCTTCTCCTGTCCCCACATGTCCCTCTGTTCCCGCATGTCCCTCTTCATCCTTGTGTCCCTCTCTGTCCATATGTCCCTTTCCATCCATGTGTGTCCCTCTCCCGTCCCCATATGTCCCTCTTCATCCCTATGTCTGTCTCCATCCCACGTCCCTTTCCATCCCTGTGTGTCCTCCTGTCCCCATGTCCCCACGTGTCCCTCTTCATCCCTGTGTGTCCCTTTCCATCCATGTGTGTCCCTCTCCTGGGACACACATGTCCCCACATGTCCCTCTSTKYCC